AATGTCTTACATCTGATACGTATTGGACAACGCTAGTCACGGCTTATCTCAAGAACTCTAAAAGTCACGTCTTGAAACCAGTCACTAATGAGCATATTAGGTCAAGTGTTCTCGCATGACCTAAGTTCCTGGGTTTGAGTCCAGTGAGCGGGATCGTGGGTACGTACTGTCGGAAGGTCCCACACTATTACGAAACAGCCATCCACTGTTTCTAGATTTTCAGTGGTGATTGACTTTAGATCGACTTCTAATTTCAACTGTAAAAATATTATAATCTCCAAACATTTACCGATCGAATCCTTAATCTATCAGAACACATTAACAAATCACTAAATTATACTATTGGTTGATCATTCAATAGTGACCGATGTCATGTTTACCTTATCTACTATTCCTATCGATCAACTTGGAATATACTTGATAATTAATTAGAGTAATCTTTGATTTATTTATTTGTTTGATACACAAATGAGGAAGTCAGAAAACCTGATTATTGATTTTCGGTAAGATCATTTGTATAATTCATTGATTTATTTAGTTTCTATGATCATTACCGGAGTTTGATTAGCATTAACTATGGTGTTTAAGCGATAAAAGAGTTATTTAAAAGATGAGTTTAGTCTATCCATTAGACTTATTGTAACTAAGGTATTAACTTATTTAAAAGTAATTTGTTGCTGAGACTTAATTCTGATTACAATCTTTGAATGTTTTCTTATATTATAAAACAGTTAATGTATACAATGGTAACTTTCAGATGTTGATCTTAATTAGTTGTATCATTTATGGTCAATACATCCAATTAATAGTCTTTGTTAATTAAGCTATTGACATAATAATCTAATAATGGTTACATTAATTAACTCTTGTTTACTGAAAAGGGGTTTTGTGGAGATTGTAGTAATTTCAACAACTGAGATCATGAGTCAATTGAAAATAGACTACCATGGGAAACCTGGAAGCACTGGACGGTTCAATTTCGTGGATTAGTTGAAGTTAGACATTAACACTACCAGCTCAGTGGTCTAGTTGGTTAAGCGCCTGGTTGATAGGTCCTGGGATCGAATCCCGCGACGCGAGGTCGTGGATAGGACGAAACGGCCGTCCATTGCTCCTAGGAGGAGGATTGGCCATGGGGTTAGCGACCCCATCCCGTAGAAAACTAACTCGCTAAAAAAACGCTAACCAGAAAATTAACGACAGTATGGTATTTATTGTTAAGCCTCAGTTGAAAGTTATGACTTGACGAATACTTACTTGGAGCAGATAAGTTTAGGTAAGATGTTACTTAAAATATAATTAACCAGTGTCAGTTGTTGTTTTCTTAGCGAGTTGGTTTTCTACGAAATGGAGTCGCTAACTTTATGGCCACCCCACCTTCTTTATCCAAACTTGGGACTGGCAGTAGGCCCACAGTGGCTTCAGGAGGAGTTTAACCAATGCCAGTAGTCATGCAGTATTGAAAATTGATTAGAATTGGAAATGAAATTTGTTGAATAATATTGAAGGTACATAAGATCCTGGGATTGAACTTGTTTGTATTCAGGGATATATACCACTAACAATCAACATACTAGAAGATGAAATATGTTTGATACTCACAGATTTTCAACAGACCTCTAAGTGAATCCACATCATATTTTAAAGTATTCTCAATTTGTCTTTAATTTTTCGGTAAATATTTTACTGAGGAATAGATTATATGAGGATCATTCAAGTTATCACCGCCAACTTTATTTAAAATCGTCGTTCCCTGTTAAAAGACTACAACTTTTAATAAGTTCACTTGATATTATTTACTTGAATATTCCCATTGATGTTTTAGGACTGAAATTGATCAGTCTGTTATTGGCATATGTGCATACTGTGCGTATGCCTCGATATTGCCTTAATTTACAAGCATTATAAGTAAAGATAGATAGTGACTAGCAGTGGAATCTAGGACACGCGTTTCGTCCAATTCGGGACTCTTCAGCCGGGTGTACCTGCATCTCAGACTTGATGTTCACTCTGGGACTCGAACTCAGTACCGTTCGCTTCAAACGCCATCGCGTTATCCACTTAGCTACTGAGTGCTGATAGCCGCTTGCTTGTGCAATGGGGTGAAGTTTAATTCACTTGATATTGTTTTACTTGAATCTTCCCATTGATGTTTTAGGACTGAAATTGATCAGTTTCTTATTGGCATATGTGCATACTGTGCGTATGCCTTGATATTGCCTTAATTCACAAGCTTTATAAGCAGTGGAATCCAGCTTTACGTGTGTTTCGTCTTACTTGAGACTCGTCAGCTGGATGTACCTTCATTTCAGAATTTATGTTTACGCAGTACCGTTCGCTTTAAAAACCATCACATTATCCACTTAACTACTGAGTTCTGACACCTGAACAAGCGTTCAGGTGTCTGATGAATCACAAACAGGATGAAACGCGTATCCTAGATTCCACTGTTAATTACTATCTATCTTTGCTTATATAAATTGTAATTCTATTAAAGTTTCAATCCACTTTTTTTCCCGTGTTATTACATTTTCCTCATTAGTTTAATGTTTGTAGAATGTAATTAATTATTTATATTAAATTTTCTATATATCTACTACATCTAAAGTTGTTAGTCTTTAAACCATTGAATGAAACACTAAATCATTGAGAAACTAATTTGTTTTAAGCAATCTAAGTGTGCTTAATTAATTACTGAATTACTTATATCTGTTACTCTTCGTGGAGGAGCATAGGCCGCTTACCAGTACTGTCCATACAACCCTGTCCTGAACAATTATTTCCAGCTCTTTTCATTTGGTATTCATCCTTTTCATATCTACTTCTATTTCCAGATCTTTGAAATATTATCATTTATAAATAGATGTAAAATTTGATGGTTAAAATTCTGGAAGAAGTGTATGTATATATGTAACATTTGTTCAAAACAATGTTTTATAAGTTAAATAAAATTTTAATGTCATTTTTGTTTTAGGAATTCTAACCTGTTAATTAATAATTGATCATTGTGGAACAATCAATTGAATGGAATTCATCACAATACATTACCTTTATTGACTACGAGAAAACAAATGATAGCGTGGACAGGTTGATACTATGGAGGCTTCTACGACACTATGGCATGCTTGAGAAGATAGTCAATATCATAAAGAATTCATATGATGGATTAAACTGCAAAATTGTGCATGGAGGACAGCTCATAGACACGTTCGAATTAAGAACTGGTGACTGGCAAGGTTGCATATTCTCAACCTTTCTCTTTCTCCTGATGATCTACTGGATCAGGAATACATCAACATTTGAGTGGAAGCATGGGATACATTGGACAGCTAGAATGCAGCTGGACAATCTAGACTTCGTAGATGATCTGACCCTTCTATCGCACATGCAACAACAAATGCAGAAGAGGAGGATCAGTGAGGCAGCAGACTCAGCAGCAGTTGGTCTCAACATACACAAAGAGAGAAGCAAGATTCTCCGATACAACACATCATGCATTAAACAAATCACACTTGACGGAGAAGTCTTGGAAGATGAAAAATCTCTTACATATCTGGACAGCATCATTGATGAACATGGTGGATCTGATGCAGATGTGAAGGTGCAGATCGGCAATGCAAAAGCAGCATATCTACAACTGACGAACATCTGGAACTCAAAACAACTGTTTGTCAACCAACATCAAGGTGAACATTTTCAACACAAATGTTAAGAGTGTTCTACTGTATGGGGTGCAATCTTGGCGAACTATGAAAGCAATCATCCAGATGATACATGTGTTTATTACCAGTTGTCTACACAAAATATTTTGGATCTGTTGGTCAGACACTATCAGCAAGAACGTACTGTAGGAGAGGACGAACCAGATTCCAGTGGAGGCAGAAATGAGGAAGAAGCGTTGGAAGTGGCTAGGACATGTATTGAGGAAATCACTCAATTGCGTCACAAGACAAGCTCTCATTCGGAATCCTCAATACTAAAAGAAGGAGGATAGGAAGACCAAAGAACACATTACGCCATGAAATAGAGACAGGCATTATTCGAATGAACAAGAATTGGATGGAACTAAAAGGAAAGTGCTAGGACAGAGTGGTTTGAAGAATGCTAATCGGCGGTCTATGATCTATTGGGAGTAACAGGCGTTGGTAATTTAGTAAGTATGTTAATAACTGAATCAGTTATTAAGTTGTTGTACTGCTTTCTTGATTCAGTTATAAATAGTATATTTATCAGTATTAACTAGTATTTTTAACTAAACTTGTTGTATTCTATAACCTGACAAATATTGTGTGACAAAATCACTGATCAAAATACCGACTTTTATAATATTGTCCCTGTTCTGGACCAATAATACATCAACCAATACTAGAAGCTTTGAATCAACTCTCCGTCCTTATTGGTCCTCTGTATAGTAAGTTCTAGTCCAGCCCATTCCGCCCAGTCCACAACAGAGAATCAACTTTCGCTGTATGAATCGTGTATTTCAGACATACGTGAATAATATACAGGCAGACCAGATCTCATCACACCATAAAATGAAAAAAATTGATTACACAATATCAAGCCGAAAGTGCCTGCGATTATGTGATTATGTAACTTATAGATTAGGAATAACTTAAGAAAGGTAGGTCATATAACAGCTGCCAATAGATCAAATGAAAGCTTATGATATATATCTTTGTGCTATTGTTATGTTTGTATAAACATGTATGCTTAATCACATATGAGAGCCAATCCAGACATTCTTCACTCTAGCTTATTTGTCAATTGCTGAGATCGTTCGATCAATCATTCGCTTTCTCATATATGTATATGCTTAAATTTTACTAACTGATTTAGCTCTTCATTCGATTCTTAATTTGAGTCTTAATTCGCCTCTATATTCGACCGTTCGTGTGCATTATTTTTTCTGCTCGAATTCCCCTATTGTGCTTGTGTCCTACTGATGTATCCTATCCGATAACAAAATGTAGTTTCGCTTGCCACTTAAGTCTTAATCGCTAATAACTACTACTACTACTACTACTACTACTACTACTACTACTACTACTACTACTACTACTACTACTACTACTACTACTACTACTACTACTACTACTACTACTACTACTACTACTACTACTACTACTACTACTACTACTACTACTACTACTACTACTACTACTACTACTACTACTACTACTACTACTACTACTACTACTACTACTACTACTACTACTACTACTACTACTACTACTACTACTACTACTACTACTACTACTACTACTACTACTACTACTACTACTACTACTACTACTACTACTACTACTACTACTACTACTACTACTACTACTACTACTACTACTACTACTACTACTACTACTACTACTACTACTACTACTACTACTACTACTACTACTACTACTACTACTACTACTACTACTACTACTACTACTACTACTACTACTACTACTACTACTACTACTACTACTACTACTACTACTACTACTACTACTACTACTACTACTACTACTACTACTACTACTACTACTACTACTACTACTACTACTACTACTACTACTACTACTACTACTACTACTACTACTACTACTACTACTACTACTACTACTACTACTACTACTACTACTACTACTACTACTACTACTACTACTACTACTACTACTACTACTACTACTACTACTACTACTACTACTACTACTACTACTACTACTACTACTACTACTACTACTACTACTACTACTACTACTACTACTACTACTACTACTACTACTACTACTACTACTACTACTACTACTACTACTACTACTACTACTACTACTACTACTACTACTACTACTACTACTACTACTACTACTACTACTACTACTACTACTACTACTACTACTACTACTACTACTACTACTACTACTACTACTACTACTACTACTACTACTACTACTACTACTACTACTACTACTACTACTACTACTACTACTACTACTACTACTACTACTACTACTACTACTACTACTACTACTACTACTACTACTACTACTACTACTACTACTACTACTACTACTACTACTACTACTACTACTACTACTACTACTACTACTACTACTACTACTACTACTACTACTACTACTACTACTACTACTACTACTACTACTACTACTACTACTACTACTACTACTACTACTACTACTACTACTACTACTACTACTACTACTACTACTACTACTACTACTACTACTACTACTACTACTACTACTACTACTACTACTACTACTACTACTACTACTACTACTACTACTACTACTACTACTACGACTACGACTACGACTACGACTACGACTACGACTACGACTACGACTACGACTACGACTACGACTACGACTACGACTACGACTACGACTACGACTACGACTACGACTACGACTACGACTACGACTACGACTACGACTACGACTACGACTACGACTACGACTACGACTACGACTACGACTACGACTACGACTACGACTACGACTACGACTACGACTACGACTACGACTACGACTACGACTACGACTACGACTACGACTACGACTACGACTACGACTACGACTACGACTACGACTACGACTACTACTACTACTACGACTACGACTACGACTACGACTACGACTACGACTACTACTACTACTACTAATACGACTACGACTACGACTACTAATTTATAAGTTATTTTCATGTTTCATAAGCGTACTTCAAAATCTTAATACTACACAACTCACATATTTTGGTCAATGTTAGCTAATCTAAAACAGATGCTATGTTGATGCACCTAATCAATCATTCAACTAAACGGAAAATACGTTGCAATATATGACAGAAGGAATCTCAGTATTATATTGGTAAACTGATATTTTCACCTTTCAAAATAAATGGTTGAAGGTGTTTGTTTAAGTTTTGTCAGTCTTCGTACGTTTGTTTATTACAGTTAAAGATTCAGTTATTGATTACGAAGATCCTAACAGAAGAGTGTGTCGACTCGAATGACCATATTATAGATAAACATAATGAGAGAAACATCAGGAGATGAAAAGCATAGGGATCAAAATATAAATATTATGAATATTAAAAAATAAAAGCAGTGAATATAGTTAGAGAATAAGTAGAACACTTGTGTAGAACATTTATGTATAGAATCAAAAGAATATAAGAAACGAATACATCTATAGCATTACTTAGGGTTCAACATTGGACCACAATTAAGTAGCGGATTCCAACTTGAAAGTTATAATCTTTTCATAAGACTCATATCAATAATTCGAGGATTCATAAACTGATATTGTTATCATGGGCTCCCTAGGTTTTAGTCAATGTACTTTTGTTCTGTTTGACAAGGTACTTCATAGCAGACGGTTATTAGAAGTGGGAAACACTTGCTCAAACTATCGTAGTCAGCAAAGTATTTAACTTAAAACAAAGATTAGAAATAAAACCCCGCATAAAGTTGACTTTGAAGGTGTAAGCTGATATCCCTATCATATAAGAACCAATCAAGTATAGTTCAATTAAGATGGATCGTTCTAAACACTTGTGGTAAATTATTTATCTGATAAGACTGTTTGCAGGCTATCAAACTAGGAAATAGAATAAGAAGGATTGTGATGATATAGTTCCTCTTCAGTATTGTACCATTCAAATCTCAAGTATTCACCATTTCCGTATCTCTTTGCCAAATATGCTTAATACTTTATATCTACTATTGTTAAGAAATATGACAAGCTATGTCAACACACCATACCCGTCAAGTTCTAAGTTATCACATTCATTAACGTATCATTTTTGATCACCAGCTACAAAAGGTATTAACAAATAAGCTTTTTTTCTTAAAAATAATCAATTCATTGAAAAATATTTTAGTACAAATAGTAACAAGTAAAGAAAACATTGAAAATATTCCACATGACAGAAAAATGATATTTCTGTACAAAAATATTTTAACTACTTATAAGTAGTTAAAATATAAGTCATAAATATTTTGATTTGTTATATAATACCGGGATCATAGATTGAATTGCCTTTTTATTTTCATTTTGCTTACATTCAAACAAACAAAAGAGGATAAAACATTTTATATTAGATCCTTAAATCGCTCTTCATCAGTAACACATGTTGAAGGTCTAAGTGCTTGATTAATTTTCTTGAGTCTTGAAGTATATGTTGAATAATCAGATGGTTCATGAATTATATCTATCTCTTTTAGATTATTATTATTATTATTATACTTTAATGATTTATGCATATTTAATATACAATTTGGATTTTCACCTAATTTAATTAAAATATCTTTATCAAATGATACAATAGAATATGAAGATCTTATTGAATGTTGATTATTTGTCCAAAATAATTTTTGTTCATTTATTTGAATTCTATCATTTTTTCGATCAAATTTCTGATCCAGATCATATTTGAAATCAAAATCTTTTTGAAATTTTGGTAAATAACCATGAAATATTAATTGATCATCAATTAATATAGAAAATTCTTTTACACCATATTCTGGAATTCTCATATAATTCCATAAACGTATACCAACAATACAAATTGGTTTATGAAATACTATAAAGATTTTATTAATCTTATTTGGTATCATTGAAGTTAACCAACAATGTTTAGACATAATATTATAATTAGTAGTAATTATGTTATCGACTAATTTATCCACTGTACATAGATTAGAATAGAATAGTTTATTACTATCAAGATTATTTATTGAATTTGGATAGGCATATATTTGATTTTTATGTATTGGTATAATATTACCATCATTAGATAATAATTGTATACCATTTAAACCAACATAGAATTGATTAGACCAATTAGAGTATATATTGAATTGATATACAAATCCTATTGGTAAATGATTATATTTATACCTGGCTGTTAGGCTATGTAAGTCAGTATAATTTATTTGTGTATCGGTTAACATAATAATTTGTTCAAATGGATATTCTAAATGTCCTGGTGCTTTTCTTAATAAAATTGTCAATTCATTTAGAATAGAATCATTTGAATTGAATTGTTTTAATTTAATATTCATTAATTTACAACCATAATCATAACCAATTTGACAATGATTATAATTCCATATACGTATAGAATTGAATAGTGATAAACATAATGAATTGTTGTTTATATTGGGATAAAATCTTATTATTGGAGGTGATAAATTAGGATTATATACAGCATACCACATATCATTAGGATTTGTAGTATGATTTTTTGTATTTAATAAATTTTCTATATTTCTACCACCAGTCGATAAAGCTGTATCATCATCATGATTATCATTTAGGTATACAGATTTCATTTGGATTGGATTTCCATGTTCATCTAAAAATTCAATCCCTGTTAATCCAATATATTTAGATCCTTTAATCCATGGTTCAAGTAAAGTTATTTCAATATAATATGTTGTCATTATTTGTAAATCATCATTATCTATAATAGTTAATTGTGATAATGCTTTAGATAATAAATCATTCTCATTTACATCATACATAGAATTATATGTCATCGGTTCTTTATTCAATGTTTCATCGTTTGTTACCATGGTAACATCATTGTTATAATCTTGTTTGAATTTTAATAAAGTATCATTTTGTCCAATTAAATTTAATATATTATTATCTGTAGAAAATAAAATGGTTTCACAAAAATCTTCTAATTGACCATCATTTAAACCAGTAGCTTTATGTATTTCATTATAAAATATTGGTTGATTATCTAAATAAATAATTAAATCTTTGACACCACGATATGAATCTATGCAAGATTTATTATAATTCCATATACGTATTAAACCAATAGATGATTGAATCCATTTAGGTAATGTCATTTCAATTAAATGTCGTTTACCTAATTGAAATGTTGTTAACCACATATGTTTATCATCTTTAGTCCAATTAATACCATCAATTAAATTATTTATAATCATTGAATCATCTGATAAGTTAGTTGTTATATGACATAATTTTGTTATATTCATACCATTGGATAAAAATATTTCAATACCATTTAAACCAACATAATATGGATCACCCCATGTAGATATAATATCAAATAATAATTTATAACCAAATGGTAATTCAGGGATACTAATCGTTTTTGAAGTCATTCTTAATGGATAATATGTGATAGATTGTTGTTGTTTATTTATTTCATTATAGATGTAATAAGATGAATCGTTGTCATTATTATTGTTGTTGACGTTGTTGTTGTTGTTGTTACCGTTTTTATTGTTCTTGTCGTCTTCGTCATTGCTATAGTTGTTGTTGTTGTTATTACCGTCGTTGTTGATACCGTTACTACCGTTGTTATTGTTATTGTCATCTTCGTTATTGTTGTTGGTGTTATTCCTAGAACTTCGATCTTTATGATAGTCATCAGAAATATCTAATGAATTCCATGATGTTTTAGATTGTTTATCTTTATTGAATTCATCTATATATTGATATTTATGAATCATAGGTTTCATATGAATTTGACTTAATGAATTATTTAATAATAAATCTTCATTGACATTAGATAAAAAATTAATTTCAGTAGTATGACTACTACTAGTAGTATTAGCAGTAGTAGTAGTAGTAGTGGTAGTAGTGGTAGTAGTAGTAGTAGTCATAGTAGTATCATGATTGTATGAACTAGGAAACCATACATTGAATTTCGTTGGAATATTCTCTCTTAATTGATTATCATTATCAATAGATTGATTTCTATTCCGTTCCAAAGAAGATTCATTCAAATGATCATGATTATTATGTAATAACTTTGTAATCCCATGAAATTGTTCAAAAGATATTATGTCACTAATCTTGAACATGATACTAATGACAGACGTTTCCATAGAATGATCATTGTTATTTGGTAGAATATCATGATATAATGTGAATCTCTTCTTATCGTAAATAACATAAAGATGACATTGTTTCACACCAATATTACTTAGATCTGAATTTATATAATTCCATAGATTTAATGTAATCATATCATGAAATGTAAATTGGCTTAATAAATATATAAATTCAATACATAATGGTAGATGATCAATATGAGCGATCCACATCTCTTGATCATTTTCGATATCAAATATTGATTTAAATAGATGATCACTTGGAATGGATAATGAAGGACCACTACTACTATTATCAGTATTACTAGTAGTATTATCCTCTTGATTAATTTTATAAATATTGATTCGTTTAGGATAGATTTTCATTGATTTAGAATGATTTAATAAGATTTCAATACCATTTAAACCAATCCATAATTGATTACCCCAATTATTATATATATCTAAATGAAATGTAATTTGATTCAATTGTTCTATTTCTGATTGATTTATTATTAGTTCATTAATGGATTCATTATTTTGTTTACAAGATGGTGTTGATGCTACTCCTACTCCTGCTGATGCTGCTGATGACGATGAAGATGATGATGACGTAATTCGAAGTAAATTCTTACATAATATAGATTTTGGATGATATAATTGTAATAATGATTGATGTTTTTTATTAATTATTGATATATTTGGATAAAATGGTATATAAATATCACCCCATGTTTTACGTTGAATTTTTTTAGTTATTCTATTTGTACTACTTTTATGATGTTTATTCTTTAATTTATGATAAGTAGTATCATGATGTGGATAAGAATTATTTTTTAAATATTTTGTAGCTGCATTAAAATATAATTGAAAACCTTTTTCTAAACGTTCTTTTATTAAATCATCATTCGTTTTTTGATTTAATAATTTACGTTGTTTATTACGTTCTTGTAATGAATTTAAATAATTTTCATAATGTGTATTAATTTCTTTTATTGATTATATTGATTGATTGATTAATTAATTGATTGATTGATTTATCATAAATTGAAAGATATTACGTAATCAGTATAAAGTACAAAATATAAAAAGTAAAAAAAATTTTTTAATACAAAATAGAAATATCAATGGTTGAGATCATGAGTCATATGAAGCTAGACCATCATGGAAAACCTGAAAGCACTGGGCATCGGGATCGTGGATGCGCACTGCTAAGGAATCCCATAATAGGAAGAAACGGCCGTCTAGTGTTTCCAAGTTTTCCATGGTCATCTAGTTTCAACTAACCCATAATTTCAACGATTGAAAATAGAAATAATAGAGAAAAATTTGTTGATATGTTTAACTATTTATATAAA